GGCGTGCACTACAAGTACCACCTGCCCCTGGGCGCCCCCCGATCCGGCTTCAACTGGAGCCATGGCTCCTGGAGCGACTGCAGCAGCGAGTGTGGTGGAGGTGAGGGGCGCGGGCGAGGCTGGGGGGCTCCTCGGGGGGCTCCAGCCCCTCACGGGCGGCGGGTAAGTCCAGACAGCAGCTACATGTCATGGGGGTCACCTGGGGGAAAACCCCGGCTCCATGAAGGGCCCCCACTAAGCTAAGAGAACCGAAGGGGCTCCCCAGGGGCGGGGGCCCGGCTCCCGGTGGCAGCGGAGCTGGGGGGACGAGCGGGAGCGCGGCCTCTTCACCTGAGCTGCACGTTCCTGGTCTGCGAGCCGGGCGTTTGATGCACCTACCTGGGGGTCGCTTGATGACACTGGGGAGCTGTGGTGTCTGGCTTGAGAACGTCAACCGACGGCTCCCCCTGGGTGGGGCCCTGCAGGTCACCAGACCCGGGCTGTGTTCTGCACCATGGACAGCGAGGCCTACCCGGACCGCGTGTGCCAGCTCCAGCCCCGGCCCGCCGCCCGCCGCCCCTGCAACCCTCACCCTTGCCCACAGACCAAGCGGTGAGCCCCTCCGGGTTGAGACCCCTTCCAGAACTGGGGTTCCTGCCTGCTTTTGGTGTAGGGCAAAGAGCTTGGATGGCCCAGTGGTTGCCTACGAGGGGAGAGGGCCGCTGTCTCTGGGCCAGCGGTGGAGTCTGTGCGTGAGCCCAGGGCTGCTCTGCTCACCTCGATGCCCGCGCAGTGCACCCAGTATCCAGGCTGCAGAGAGGCGCAGGCCGGGGGAGACTGGCGCTCCTCCTGTCTGAGCCAGCAGGGGGCTTGCTGACGCCCACAGCGGGCCAGGGCTGGGCCAAGGGCCGTGGCCTCTGCAGTGCCCCTGCTCACACACAAGCCCCTCTTGCCTGCGCCAGCCTGGAGCGTGGCGCTCGCGGGGCCCGCTTGTGTGTGTGGGCCCGTGTGTCCGTGTGCAGGCACGGCTCTCTGCAGGCTCCCTGCAGGGCTGGCTTAGTCCTTGCCGTGTGGCTGTCGTGCCCGCTGGCCCCGCGGTCAGTGGCTCTGCATACGGGGTGGGAGCTGCCCTTTCCTCTGTGTCCTTATGCTCCGGTGCCCGGCAGGGCCACTCCGCCCACGGGGAGCCGGGCCCCTCCTGGAGCTGTCCCTGTCAAAGGCCAGACCGGGAGGGAGTGGGTTCTGGCGAGGGATGCTGGGGTCTCCTGAGCAGAGAGGCGCATGCAGGCGGCAGCTGGCCTCAGGAGAAAAGGGGCTCAGAGGGCCAGCGCGGGGAGCCTGCCCGCCGGGGCCTGGGCTGTGCCTGTCGCCCTCTGACACCCACCAGCACAGGCCTGGACGTTCAGTGGGGGGCCGGCCTGGGGGGTGTCCCTGGCCCCAGGCTCTCCGTGGGGGAGGGCTGGCGCCCCCTCTGGCCTGGGCCGGGCTGACTGAAGTCCTGCTCCCTGCCAGCTGGAAGACGGGGCCCTGGGCGCCCTGCTCAGCCTCTTGTGGCGGCGGCTCCCAGTCCCGCTCCGTCTACTGCGCCTTGTCCGATGGGGCTGGTGTCCTGGAGGCCGCCGACGAGGCCGAGTGTGCGGGCCTGCCCGGGAAGCCGCCTGCCACGCAGGTGTGCAACACGCAGCGCTGTGCAGCCTGGAGTGTAGAGCCTTGGGGAGAGGTGAGAGCCCGCAGCGCCGGGCGGGGGGGCACGTGGGCAGTCAGGGGCCGGGCTGGGGCAGGGCAGGGCTTGAGGCCTGCCCTGGGAGACAGAGACGCGCCGGGTCATCTTGGAAGTTGTGGCCAAGGCTGGGATGAGGAGCAGGGGCTTGGACTCCTGTTCCAGTGCTCTTTGTGCTTCTCTGTGCTGCCAGGCAAGACGGGGAGAAGCAGCTGGCATGTTGCTGGGGGCCAGGGCGGGGCAGTGACCGGGGCTGCCAGTCATTGGCTCTAGATCCATGTGTCTTCAAGTTGCAAAAGCGTGTGAAAACGCCCCCCAGCCTGGTGTCAGGCTGTGTGACTTCGGGGCAGTGGCTCAGCCTCTCTGGGCCTGGGAGGGTGGCCCGAGGAGGGTGCTGCCCGTGCCAGGCCAGCTGGGGCCCCCGGGGGGTCCTCTGGCTGGGGGAGAAGCTCCTGCTGACTCCCGGTTCTTGTAGTGCTCGGCCAGCTGTGGTCCCGGCATCCGGCGGCGGCGAGTCACTTGCCGGGGTGATGAGGGGTCTCTGCTCCTTGCCACGGCATGCTCCTTGGGGGATCAGCCCCCCGCCACTGAGTCCTGCGTGCGGGACGACTGCGGCCCTCTCAACGAGCAGGCCTGGCACGTCGGCGCCTGGGGTCTGGTGAGTGCTAACCTTTGGCCCCGAGACTTGCTGCCCAGTCCCGCTCCTTGGCCCCAGCAGGTGCCTGTCCCAGGTCTGACACGCACCTTCCTCCTCCCGTGGGGGTACAGCCACCCCACCGCCAGCCTCAGGGCCTCTTTCTTTTCCTGTTCCCTCCGGTGTCAGTGCTCCAAGAGCTGCAGCTCGGGCACGAGGCGGCGCCAGGTGGTCTGTGCTCTCGGGCCACCCGGCCGCTGCGCCAGCCTGCCGCTGTCGAAGCCCGCGGACGTGGAGCCGTGCAACACACAGCCTTGTCACCTGCCCCCAGGTGAGGACGGGGCGGGGCGGGCCGGGCCGGAGGACCCTTCCCGGTCACCCCAACCAGTGCTCCCTGCCGCTGAGCCCTCGTCCTGCTGGCAGCCAGCCGCAGTGCTCTTTGCTTCTCTGGCCATGAGGTCCTTGCCACCCGCGGCGGCCAGCCCTGCCTCTCCCAGCCGAGGCAGCATCTCCACCCCGCCCCGTAGCTCACGGTGATGCCCCTGCCCTGGGGCGGCTGCACCGGCTGAGCTTGGTCAGCTACAAGCCCCTCGAGTCCCTGACTCCTGTTCCTCCTCAGAGCCCTCCGCAGACCTTAGCTAGCACGTGGTAGGTCCTCGGTCTGTCTGTCAAATGACCGAGTGCGGGGCAGTGAGGTGGCCAGGAAAGACTGTCCTCCCATGCTGCTTCTGCCTTCGCCTCCCCCTGAGCCCTGTCTTCACTGGGGAAGGTGTCCTGGGCCTGAGGCCCACAGGAGGACGGGCAGAAACACCCCTTGCTTGGTGGGAGATGTGAGCTGAGGAAGGGGTTCAGCTGGGAGGGGTGGGCCGGGATCCGACGTGTGTTTGGCCCTGACGTGCAGGCAGTGGGCTGTGGTGTGGGCTGGCAGGATTCCAGGGGAGGCATGTGGGGGTGTCTGAGAGCCAGCGACCTGGAGTCAGCAGCTGACCTGGGTCAAAACCCCACTCCCACTCCCTGTGGCTGGTTTCACCAAGCACGTGATGCCGGGCAAGAGCTTCTCCCCTCTCTCTGATCCTTGTGTCGCTCCTCTGTACAGGGGGTTAGTAAGTGACCTGTCAGGTGTGTGGGAAGGGCCTGAAAGCACAGTGCTCAGTAGCAAAGGTTTGGAAGTGGCGAGCTTGCATGGGTGAGGTTAGATGAGGTTTCTAGGGCACCTCCAAAGCCTGGGCTTTGGATTTTAGGGTGCACAAGCAAGAGGGTCCTCTGGCTGTTGGAGTCCAGCTTCCTGAACCTCTCAGTTACGAGCCACCTTGGAGGCCTTCCTGGAGGAGGTGGCCCAGAGCCTGCCCCAGAGACTGGTAGGATTCACTGGTAGGACACAGGCAGGCAGGAAGGAAATGGAAATGGAAAGAGAATTCCAGGCCAGGCTGAGTTATAAAAGTAACATTTAAAAATATAGATTTACTTATACTTACAAGAAATGGGGTGTAAGCCAGAGGTGTGGGCTGAGAGGATTCACCAGAGACAGAGTAGGGGAACAGAGCAGGCGGATTCACAGAAATACACTGGGAGGGAACAGCAGGCGGGTCAGGAGAGGTCTGCTGTGCCATGTGGGTCAGCTCCCTGGCTGGGGATCGAACTTGTGCTGCACTGGCTTCTGAGAGCTTCATGGTGCAGTGCTTTAACCCACTGCGCCACCAGGGAGGGCCCTCGCGGATGTTTTTCATAAGATTTAAAACGCATCTTCAAAAGCCAGTGTAGTTTATCTGAGCACATGTCAGTTCAGATGCTGAATTTCACTGGCATATTTTGTCTATATTTAGATTTCAAAAAAATGTACAGTTGAAGACGTAGATTCACATTGTCACATTTTCCGCACATATGGAAATGTTTTCTAATCAATGATTCTACTGTCTGTTTTTTTTTCCCTAAAATCTATTCAATTGAGAATAATGATGCATTCTAGGCAACAGGCACTAAAATATCAGTAAAACTGTTTCAACATCCACATCATCATACAATGCAGAGACACAAAATGTACCATGAGTCACTGAGTTTTCTGCAGGTGCATAGCGAGGGCTGTGCTGGTCCTGCTGCTCACTGACTGCCCAAGGCTTGTTTTAGCATATCAGGAAGATCCTTTTGCAGGCCAACAGGTTAAAGTCCAGCACTAGGAAGCTAAGAGTTCCCCTGCTAGGTAGGTGACCCACATGGCACAGCAGATCTCTCCTGTCTTGCCCGCTGCTCCCCTCAGCAGTGTACTTCGTCCATCTGCCTGTTTTGCTCCCCATTTTGTCTCTGGTGAATCCTTTCACGACCCCTGCACCTCTGGCCTGTACCCCAGGTCTGTACGCATAAATAAGTCTTTTTTAAAAACCCGCCTTTTTCTGTTGACTTTAAGAAGAAAGATAATGAAAAGTGCGCAAGTGTCCGTCTTTAAATTAAAAATAGAATTCTAATAAAATGAAATTTACAACTCCCTTGCTCCATCCCTGGCTCCCTTCCAAGTGCACAGTAGCTCTGACTCCAGTAGGGGGCGCAGAACCGGCCTCAGCTCAGCACGTTGCAGGTCTGTTTAGGTGGTGGTGACCTTGGGGCCGGCCATGCTCGAGAGCTCAGGCCTCTGACTTCCAATTCAATTTATTTAATAGGCCCAGGGACCACTGACAGTTTAGGGGAGAGAAAGTGGCATTTTGAGTTATCTAGGAGGATAAACTAGTCATCTGCCTGAGGGTCAAGGTGAAGTAGACAGAGGAGGGCGGGAGCCTGGCGGACTGCAGGCTCAGAGGCCGGCGTCAGCCAGAGCAGATGAAATAGAGGCACAGACGAGGCCCAGCACGGCCCACAGGGTGCAGGGAGGGAACTCCGAGTTAAGCCTGGAAAGATGGGAGAGCAGCGCCGTGGTGGGGGACAGGGAGCCGTGGCCGGGCAGGAGGTGCCTTCCAGGTCCGGAGAGGGACAGCAGGGGACTCCAGGCCATTGGGGGCGTGAGCACAGGGCGGGGAGAATGGGGGGGAGGTGCAGAACTGCGGGGAGAATTCGAATAATTTGAATCAGCCTGGGTGGGATCGGCAATAACAGGAGAAAGATTCCACCACATAGCTCCTGGACACTTCAGCTCAGAATTGTTTCTTAATATTCCCGGGGAGACTGGCAAGATACAGTCCATGTAGGAGTGGAATTTTCACTTATTTTTTACAGCAGTACATTAGTTATTGTGGAAACAGAAAAACACAGGAGGAATGAACTCCCCTCGAGCATGCAAACATTTTCAGTATGAGTATTTTGAGGTGTGACCACAGACATCCATTTTATACATCATTAAAATTTTTCCCTTGTCTTCCTAATGTTCTCTAATTAGCCTTTTGTATTTTTCTCCAACATTTTGTGGTGGAAAAAAATCTCTTTAATGACTTTATTGAGATGGTTAAATAATATGCCATTAAAATCGCCCATTTTAATGGTACAGTTTTTAATATATTTACCAAGTTGGGACAAGGCAGTGAAAATAAACAGAAAAGCTGAAAAACTGTGTAATCTACCATGTAAGTTCTGTAACTTATATTTTACTCTATTTGCCTTTTCATGGTCTTATCCCTTGATCTCTCAATTGCCTTGATTTCTTCCTTTTTAAATAAGGTTTACTTATGCATACAAGAACTGGGGTGTAGGTCAGTGATACAGGGGGTGAGCGGATAGAATGGGGAGCCCAACAGGCAGAATGTGGGAAGTGCACTGCTGAGGGGAGCAGCCGCGAGACAGGAAAGGTCTGCAGGAGAGGTCTGCAGGAGAGGTCTGCAGGAGAGGTCTGCCGCGCCATGTGGCTCAGCTCCCTGGCCGGGGATCGAACTCGTGCTGCAGTGACTGCCAGTTGCTTCCTAGTGCAGAGACTTAACCCCTAAGCCACCAGGGAGGCCCTAGCTTCCCATAGGGAATTTTGTATTATGGTGAAAGTCACGCCCTGTGCACTGGCTGCCCCGTGGTGTCATTCCATGTACTCACCCACCGCAGTCGCCAGCTTTTCTCTGGGAAAGCTTCACCCTGTTCCCCCATCCAAGTTCACGAAGTCGTCACCCCCTAAACCCTAACTGCTCTGCCGTGTGCCCTCTGCCCTGCTTTGGGTCTGAGCTGCTGCTCTGGACACTAGCTACAAGGTGCCCGTGGTGTGGCGCTGACCCCCTTCACCTGTAGAATGTTCTCTGCAGCATCCGCGCGACCTGCTGGACGCGCCCCTCTGTGGAGGGGGCACCTTGGGCCTTCCCTTGGCTCCTTTGCATCTTTGGCTCTAACGAGCTGTCACTAGCCACGTGCAAGAGCCTCTGTGGCCGGTTTCACTTGTCTTGGAGACGCATTCAGGAGCGGAGCTGCTGGGCATCGGAGATGCTGCGTTGCCTTTCGGAGGCACCAGCAATGTCTGGCGGCGGCGGGG